AAATTTTTTTTGAGACAGAGTTTTGCTACGCTGCTGAATTCCCCAGGCTGGGCTCAAACTTGCAGTCCTCCTACCTCAGCCTTGCAGAATGCTGGGATTCCAGGCCTGTGCTGGAACGGTGAGGATGTATCTTATAAGCTGACACTCATCCCTCACCGTCCCAGGCACCGGGAGAACTCTAAAGGCTGGCTTCTCCCTTTAGGTATCACGGCCCTGACTTGAGTTAGGACTCAAGCTCATTTATTTCTGTATTAAGCTGACATGGCTTTGGGCTGAACTGTGTCTTCTAGAATTCACGCATGGGAGCCCTAACCCCAGTAACTGTGCGGTATGTTGGGATCGAGTCTTTGGGAGATAATTAAGGTTAAATGAGGGGAGGGCCCTAGCCCTGTCTGTAGGACTGTGGCCTTCTAAGCTCTCTCTGTCTCTGCTTCTCCTCTCTCTCTCTTTCCCTCCACTCCAAGTGAAGACACAGTGAGAAGGCAGCTAGCTGTCTGCAAACCAGGACGAGGCCCTCACCAGGACTGACCCCGCTGGCCCTTGTCCCCTCTCAGCTGCAGCTGGTCACTTCCAGTCACTTCCCAGTCCCCTCATGGTGTCCTCAGAGCTGTCTTCCCAGTCCCAGGGATGCGGCCAGGGGCCGGGGCCCAGGCTGGTGAGAGCAGCTCCCTCGCCCTGCACCCTCACTGCCACCCGTTTGCTGTGCTCAGGCCCCAGTGCCAGACTCTCAGCCGCTACTGCATGGACCTGGGTGGGGCCCTTTATTTCTCTGGGTCCCTGTTGAATCCCTGGTGGAAAGCGGGGGTGACAACACCGACCTCCCAGGGTGAGAGGGTGGGAAGAGACAATACACAGGAGCTGTGAACCTCGAGAGCTAGTCTTGCTCAGCCCAGCCCGGGCCCCTGGGCGCCGCACTTGCCTTTGGCTCCTCTGTGTCCTGCTCCTTCGTGTCCCTTGGGCTGGCCAGTGTGTTGTGCTGCATGGGCAGAGATGCCAGGCCACGGCTGTGGGTCCAGATCACGGAGCTCCCGCGGGACACATTGCCCGTGCAGCTGGGAGGCGGGAAGAGGGGCTCTGTGGGCAGTGACACAGCAGGGAACCTCGTGAGGTAGGTGGTGTGGGTCCCCACCGACCCGGCGTCTGTCAGCACAGGTGCAGGGTGGTAGCATTTGCATTTCAGATGCTCACACGGGACAGTAAGCGAATCCTGAAACCTGGGTCGATGGCCTCTTCTCTGGGTACAAATGAGTGTGTGGTGCAAAGCCACAAGCCCATGCTGTCAGACCTGACACAGCCCTTCACCAGGCAGTGCATCATGGGTAAAGTGGGGGCTCTGGACCCTGAAAACCCCAGTTCAAACCTCAACCCCACAAATCAGCTGCACATCGTCAGCTCCACACATCACATGAGGCGACCTTGGTTTCCTCTTTGATAAAAAGGGCACATCCCAGACCGCCTTCCTTCTAGGACTACGGCAAGGTCTGTTCACACCACACGTACCTGCAGACTGCCTGCCATGCGCTGGGCCTGGCTGCATCAGTGCACACAGCAAACACCCCAGGTCCCGAGTTTACATTCCAGGGGGGCAGGAGGGATTCAATATAAACACTCCTCCGGGCAGTGCCGACCCAGTAAATGTTAGCTGTTATTCCAGGGGCGTTTTCAATGGGCGAGTCTGCGGCTTTCTGTCTCTTGAAATGTCAAGAGTTCACCGCGGTCAGGTTACCCCAAGCCCAGGAAGGAATCGGGCGGGGATTATGATCTCACTCACGTACGGGAGAAGGGAGGTGGCAAGGGCACTGCAGCGCGGCTCAGGCCCACCAGCTGCCCACGACTTATCTGATTTGTCACACACACACACACCCACACACACCCGTACACGTACACACATGTGTAGATGGGGGTACCAAGTTGCAGGGAAGTAGGACCAGTTTGCTGGGGCAAAGGGCACCGGTGTTTGTAACCCAGAAGAGCCTTGCTGGCTCAGTCTCTGCTCCAGGGCCGGACTGTGTCACCTCGCCTTCCTCCCAGGGCTCCGGCCACTGGGCCCTCAGGTGAGTGCCCCACCATCTCCTTCTCTCCTGCCTGACCCTCAGGCCGGAAGCCCAGGTGCCCCAGACTGGCATCCAAGGCTCTAGGGAGCCGGGCTTCAGCCTCACGCTCCTCCAACCCACATGACCCACTCTATAAGGGGGGTGATCAGAACCGACAGTGACCACACCCCGTCCATACCTCATCCTAGTTGGTCTCCATCTTGACCCTTATCACTATGGAAAGGGACATAAGCATCTAGAGAGGCTGCTGTCTCTCCCAGTGCCCATGGCAAGGCAGGGGCTGAGGGGGTAACTAGGGAAAGGGCTGGGAAAGAAGGGAAGGTGGGCCTGCCTCAGAGCCACTTCCGGGTGAGCCCTGAGGCATCAGGTAACCAAGGAAACCACTGCGGAAGAAGGGAGGGCCTCCTCGGAGCCGAGTTCCGGGGCTGGATCCACCTTCTGAGTCAGACATTAGCCTGGAGCAGGCTGCCAACTCCACACCAAGGGCAGGGTGGCCAGCAAACTCAGCTCACACACGGTGTGTGCGGGCACCACGCAGGGGTCTCCTGAGACCCTTGAGGACCCCAACCCTAATTACCTCCTCAGCTATGCAGATCTGACTTTGGATGCTGTGACTGATCTGCCAAGAGCCGTAAAAGGTCAAAATCACCTCCCACAGCGGCTGAGTCAGGCCGCTGACTGGCAGGAGTCAGACTTCAGACCAAACCCTCCCTCTCAGTCCAAACCCTAAGACTCAAAACCCTGAGCTGGGTTTTAAGGGGTCAACCCCGAGCTGGCCTGCCGAGGCACGGCTCCTGTCTTTTCTCTTTCAAATAAATCACTGGTCCTGCCACCTCTCTCGGAGTCCTGCTCATCCCTTGTTTTGGACATCAAGAATCCGGACAAGACCCTCGAGCAGTAACACCTTGGTCCGATCTTCTCATTTTCCCAGCAGCTCTCAACAAGACCCCTTCCACTAGCACGGCCCGGGGCCCTCACCCCAGGGAACAGCCCTGCCAGAGGAGCCATCCACAGATGGCCCCTGGCTGGCCCTTTTCTCAGCAGCCGGACACAAGCAGAAGAGGTACCAGGCCTCTGGCAGGGGCTGCAGACACAGCAGAAGCCACAGGCGGTGGGTGGCAGGGAACTTGGTCCATACCCAGCGTAAGCTCCAGGAACAGAGCTATGGTCACTGCTTTGCCCGATACTCTTGTCTTCACTGTGGGTAAACAGAGGCTCAGGGATGCTGGATGACTCACCCAAGACCACCCCAGAGTGGAGGTGTCTGCCCAGGGGCCCAGGCCGCCAGACCACTGGACAGTGCAGTGGCCACGCCTATGACTTGCACAGTCTCGATTTGGAGCCGCTACCAGCTACGTCATCCACCCATGCCTGTTTCCTCACCTGTGAGATGGGGCAACAAAGAGGACTCGCCAGCTTATTGCAAGGCCTGGCCTTAGGAGTGTTCTCGCAGGGAGCTGCATCTCCAGCCCTTTTTACATTTTGAGACAGGGTCTCACTGTTGTCCTGGCTGGCCTTGACCTTGGATCCTCCTGCCTCAGCCTCCTGAGTAGCGAGGATTAAAGGCATGCACCAAAGCACAGGACAACTGATGTCACTCCATCCCGGAACAGGAGAAAACTGCCTGTGAGTCAAACCTTGGGCCAAGGCCTCTTACTCAACCGCACAGTAGCCAGAAGCAAATTATAAGATTCTCTCTAATTATCTTCCAGGGTGGACACCAAGGTTTCTGCACAAGGAATGCTCAGGACAGACACTGACCCCGCCAGCCTCAATTCCAACATCTGCACCTCCTGCAATGAGGCTGACACCTTCAACCTCCAGGGGTTCAAATCCTGTTTGCCTCGCTCATGGGATGGGTTTGGGGTCAAGTTACTAAACATCTCGGGTCTGCGCTGGGATTTGGGGCAGTAGCGCTGCGTGGGACAGGTGAGCACAGGGGTGCAGAGCCCCTGCTCTCCGGTCCGGGGGCCCTCGAGCGGCCTCGGAGGAGGTCACTGTGTCGCGTCTCCAGGGGCTGGCCAGGCACCTGCGCCCGGCCACCTGCGCGTTGACACAGAGGGGCGCAGGCCCAACTCCTGTGCTGGAGCCTGGGCCTCCCTCCCTCCCCGGGAGTGCGCACCCCTGCCGAGCGACCCCGGCCTGGGACCAGCTCATTCCCCCCGGGAGCGCGACAAGGGGCGGGGATCCAAGTCCAGCCACTGACCCGCAGCCTGGCCGCCGTCCCGCTGCATGGCGCCCACCCGCCAGCCACCGCTTCGCCCGGGACCGTGGGCGGGACCCGCCGGGCTGGGGAGCCGAAGCCGGCTGCGGTCCCGGGGCTCGGGCTCCCGCGGCTCCTGCGCGGGTAGCAGGCTCCCAGCGGGGTGTGAACCGTGTTCCGGGCTCCGGGATTTGCGAATAGCCGGGGCTGGGAGGGGGGCGTGGCGAGGGGTGGGCGGGACCGAGCCAGGAAGCCCCGCCCCGTTCAGCGGCGCCGGGAGCCAGACTCCGCCCCCTGCAGCGCAGTTACATAAGGGGCCAGAGCGAGCTGGTTGAGGAAGGCCCCTCTTCTAAACTATTTACCCGACTCTGTATTTTAGATCACACAGGAATACATACTACATGATCACTGTGACGACATTTGAAGACTCAGAGCAGGCCCTGTGCTAGGATCCTAAGACCGAGCCACCTGTTAACCCTTTGGCATGCCTCCCTTACGTTAAAGGAAATTAAAAATGAAATGTGAATGATAATTAATAAAACATTTACAAACGGTGATGAACGTCGCCCCTCTTCCCACTGCCGCGCATCCATGCATGCACATTAACTTTCTATCTCTGCAGGTCCTGGGGGTCGCGCCGTCTCTGCAGCTGGTAATTTTTTAGCTTGCATGGAGGATGGCGCAGTCCCTGGAGCCAGAAGGGCTGAGTCCATCCTCCCACCTCTGCTGGGTGGCCTTGGGCAGGTTACTTTGCGTCTCTGGGCCTCAACCTTGTCTGTCAGGTGGGGATAATACGAGCGTGTGTTAGACGCGACGTTTCCAGGACTTAATGGGTTAATGTTTATAAAGTACAGGAGAAGCACTCCACTAAGAGCTTAGCTATTCATACCGAGGTCTAGCGCGTGTATCAAGGATAATGAGCACAATTATGTAATCACACCTTCAGCCACCTCGTACCCAAACCCCTGAGTCTAGTCCCTGTTTTCTTTTTGTAACTGACTCACAAACCCCGTGAATGTCACTAAAGCGCTCTGTTCTCCAGTTCCCTTCTCTGTAGGATGAAGGCGGTATTTACAGAGCCTGCCTCCCAGGGATGATCCACCATTAAATGAGACTGTTCCTGAGGTCGATCTCGTGGAAGTGCGTGTAGCTGGTCCATGCTGCTGTGTATTTCTTGGCCTACAGGGATTTAAACAAGGACTTAAACAGCTGCCTTAGCAGTCACCCTTGGCTGGGCTTCCAGCGGAGAGAGACAAGGCCAGGGCCAGGGCCAGGGACAGGGACAGGGATGGTGGCTCACCCTTTAGGGCTCCTCCTACCTCCCCACGGAGCACCCCCACTCTGTCTTGCTGGGTGTAGCAAATACACGCTGAGACCCACTGCTTCATAAAAATGAGGAAAAAACATTACTTGAAAGCAAATCCTTGAGAATAACACAGAAGGTCACAAAACCGGGTCCGTGAGACGCTCATTTTTTCACACTGATGCAGGAGAGCCGCTGGGGTGCAGCCTGGGGTATTGACGGGAGATGGACGGATGGACGAGTGGGGCCGAGGGTGGCACCAGAGTCAAATCCAGAGTATGTATTGGGTTCGTTGATGGCAAATATTATCAACCAGCTGATGAAAAAAGGGGATGGTAACGGGCTGGCCATCTGACTAAGGATATCGTATTTCAAATACAAAAGCAGATTCTAGGGAAAGGCCTGAATGTAATAAATAACAAACATCTTGCAAGGTGCCTTGAGATTCCAACAGTACGACAAGCTGGAACCACCCAATGGAAACACCCTCTGAGATGAAAACATCGAGGTGCTCATTACTTACAAGGAATTTAAAATCCGCTAAACTCACAAGGAAATCCAAGGAATTACTCAAGGACCACACCTCTTCACGGATCGGGGGACCACCAGCCCAAGCACAGCGGCCCTGCACTCAGAAACCCTGGGCGGGTCAACCACTCATAGCAGGAATTCGAGCAGGCGGGCCAATGGCAAAACTCTGTCTTTGCTGCCTCTGGGTTAAAAAACCCCATAAAAGTATGACAGACATCTTTGCTCCTATGCATTTGTAGCCAGGAAGCTGTCCCAATGTGTCTGAGGTCCAAATTTATACTTTCCTCTCCCAAGCTCAAGAAAACTCACCTGGGATACGAAGTTTAAGTAGTTATGGGTTAGGAGTGCCCCCCGGGAGGCCCAGAAGAAGCAAAGGCCAATACTCTCTGAAGAAAAACATCCTACTCTGTCCATGTCCCACTCTCTCTCTCTCAATATAAGCTAGAGTCAGCAGAAAAACAAACAATAGATTTAGATCCTTAAGTACTTCTGCTAGTAGACATGTACCCCACAGGGTAAAGCTGATCAGATATAAACACATGGGGGACGTGACTATTGTGAGACAAGGTCTTACTATGTAGTCCAGGCTGACCTCAAACTCATGGCAATCCTCCTGCCTCAGCCTCCCAATTGCTGGAATCATAGGGCTGTGCCACTACATGCAGCTACAAAATGTGTTTTAAAATTAAAAACGGGGGGCTGGGGATTTAGCTCAGTGGCACAGCACCTGCCTGGCAAGCATGAGGTCATGAGTTCAATTCCTGGTACTGGAAAAAAAAGATTAAAATTAAAAATGAAGCAAAAAAGTGTACCAAGATGCCAGGGTCACCATGAGTTTGAGGCCATCCTGGGCTACATAGTGAGACTCTGTCTCCAAAAAACAAAAAATTAAATAGTATGAGAATAAAGTCAAAATGACCAGGAAAATTTGGAAAAGAATCAAATATATTGTAGGAAGAATTTCATAATTGGGCTGGGGATATAGCTCAGCGGCACAACCGCCTGCCTGGCAAGCACAAGGTCCCAAGTTCGATTCCTGGTACCAAAAAAAAAAAAAAAAAAGAAAAATCATAATTGAAATAAAACCCTCCACTGATAGGCTATCTAGCTGACCATCTTGGTCAGAAGAGAGAATCAATTCATTCAGCTAAGTACAGGACAGATGAAAGACATGATGCAGGATGCAACTCAGATAAGAGAAAGAGGTTTGGGACATCGGTGATAGCGATGACAGGATGACATCTGTCTCTCGGTGGTCCCGCAGACCAAAGTAGAGAAAACAGGAGGGTTTGGAGCGACGCCAGCTAAGTAGTTTTCATGGTTGC